GGCGAGGCCGGGGCCCGGGCGGGGGCGGGGGCCGGACGGTCACGTCCCCTCTGCCCCCAGACCAGGAGCTGCGGAATGTCATTGACAAGCTGGCGCAGTTCGTGGCGCGGAACGGGCCCGAGTTCGAGAAGATGACGATGGAGAAGCAGAAGGAGAATCCCAAGTTCTCGTTCCTCTTCGGGGGCGAGTTTTACGGCTACTACAAGTACAAACTGGCGCTGGAGCAGCAGCAGCGTAAGTGCCGGGGGCGGCAGAGCACTCGCCGCCCCTGCCCGGGGGGGGGGGTTGGCAAAGCAGCCTGGTCCCTAGCCCCCTGCTTTAATCGCTCCACTCTGTTACTTGGAGTGTTGTCCTGACTTCCGAGTGCAGAGGAAACCTGTGATGCGGGGGAGGAAACGGTGAATTTGATCTAGTTCAACCTAGAGTCTCTGACCTGGTGTGTTGTCCTAGGCAAAAGCTTGGCTAGAAGTTTATTCTATTTTTTTATAGCTAGTCCTTTGGTTGTGGTCACTTATCTTCTTTTAAGGATCCTCTTCTGGTCAAGTGTAGAAAAATTAAATGAGTCATTATGGAAAAGCTGATCTGACATACTTTAGATTAATGGAGATTGCCTATCTCCTAGAACTGGAAGGGACCTTGAAAGGTCATTGAGTCCAGTCCCCTGCCTTCACAGCAGGACCAAGTACCATCCCTGACAAATTTTTGCCCCAAATGGCCTCTGCAGCTCACCACCCTGCGTTTAGTAGGCCAATGCTCAAACCACTGAGCTATCCCTCCTCCCTTTAAGTATCCTTAGAATGAGAACGTCTGCAACAAATCCAGCTTGGGATGTCCAGGGTCCCATTGTTAAAAACATGTTAAAATCATGTTGAATGGTATGTGCTGAAACTTCAGATTAAGTATTCAGGAATGTGCTTCTGTTTAGTTAGTGTTAGTTTTATAATATAGAACTGTGTAAGTGTAGGGGGTGGGTGGGATTTGGCTTTGAAGCTAACTGCAGGGATAGTAGGGGTGTAAAGTCCCGTTAAACTAGTTAATCAGTTAAACTTAATGTTTAACCAGTTAACTGGAGGCAGGGAACTGGAGCACCCTCTGCCTGTCTCACACTGGGGCCAGGACCACCACAGTTGTGGTTGCTCTGGCTGGGCTGGAATGACCCCCGCCCACAGAAGGCCCCACTGGGCTGGAGCAGCCCCCCACCTGTATGTGTAGGTACTCCAGCCCCCATTGGTTAACTGTAATCAGTAAACCTCACCCATTAACCAGTTAACCATTAACAGCCCTAGTGGTTTAGGATATTGATGTAAACAAGTGGGTCACTTATGATTCTTACTGTGAACTTTTTTCCCCGCTGTAGTGCTCTGCAAACAGACTCAAGACATAGAGGCCACTGCACAGATCCCACCATTGTCACAGCCCTCTGTTCCACCAGCTGCAACTATCCCAGCTCCTCAGGGTGCTCCTTCTGTGGAAGAACTTATCCAGCAGAGCCAATGGAATCTCCAGCAGCAGGAGCAGCATCTACTTGCTATGCGACAGGTAGGGTCAAGATCAGCTTTGCTTACGTTGGGTTCCCAGGGGCAGCAGTTTGTAGTGTGCCCACGAGGGTATGGATTTAAGGGAATTCTGAACATCTTGCTTCTAGCTAGTGGTAATTTTAGAATTGTGGCCTGGGAGGAGACATGAGCTGGCATCACTTTGTGTATGGTATGTCCTGCAGAAAAGAAGTGATAACCTGTTTGGAGCAGAGGCACCCAACCTATTGGGAGAGTGAAAATGGCACTCAGCTTGCATAAAATGGCAGTTGCCCTACTCTTTGATATGTGCTGTGATTTTTGCGGAGACTTTCAGCATGCAGTGGTCTATTTTTATGAGGGTGAAACGTTGCTTTTTGGACCCAGTGGTTTTCATGGGACACAGCTCAGTACTGAAGAGGTGTTGCATCACACTGTAGAGTTCTCTGAGTATGGACCTAGATTATATGCTAAGCATTTAGCTCTTGCTTGGCTTCTTCTAGAGCAAGGGTTTTAAGATACCAGTAGAGACAGGATTTCTCATGGGGAATTAGGTAGACAAGGGGTTAGTGACAGCCAGCTTGAAACGTAGCTATAACTGTCTCAATGGGAGTAAAGAATCTTGGTCTCTGTAGAGGGCTTCCTGTGACTAGGAGCACAGCAGATTTATTTGCTGAATTTAGTATCAAGAGGATATTGGCAATCCTTAAAAGTGGTTTGTTTCTGTTTTTTAAAGGAACAAGTTACATCAGCAGTAGCCCTTGCAGTTGAACAACAAATGCAGAAAGTCCTGGAGGAAACCCAGCTAGACATGAATGAATTTGATAACTTGCTGCAGCCAATAATTGACACATGTACAAAAGATGCAATCTCAGTAAGTAAATGTCTTAAGTTCATCCATGTATTCTGTTCCTGCCTTTGCAGGTGATATACTTGTGTAACACATGCCCTGACGTGCTGCTTTAGGAGGGTGTATTTGTATGTAAATAGATCGGACTGGTGCTGTTTCAGCTGTGAATGTTATCCTCTCTGTTAATTGTGAGTGATTCCATGTTTCCTGTTCTGCTTATGAACAGCTCTTTGGAATTTGACTGCTGTTCTGTACATGAAGGCAGTTCACAGCCAGGAGCAAGTGGTACTTTGGGGAGTTGGGGCAAGAGATGGGGGCTGAACCATCCTACACAGGGAAACTAGATCAGTTCCAATTTACAGTACTATTAGGGCAGCTCATTCGTAACTCTGATGCTTTGGAAGTCTGGTAAAGGTCTCCATAGAGGGAAGAGAAAGCCCAAACAACAAATCATTGAATATCAGGCATTGAGCAAAAGCAAAATGGGATGCACAAAGCCCCAAAAGATGAGTGAGAGTAATTAAGTCTGCTAGACAAAATTCAGTGAAAAATATTTTCTTGACCCTGAAAGCCATTAAATATAATTACTACTCTGAACATAGTTTGTGACCTCTAGTAGTACCATATACAGTTTGTTAGCTGCTTCTTTGTTTAGTTGTACAGTATACTCAGTAACAGCAGTTACATGGGAATTCCTTTTCTTGCACAGTAGTGATCTGTTGTGTAGATTTCATAAATCAATGTGAACACGTCAGACTGAAAATCAATTTAAAATATTTTATATTAAAGGCTGGAAAAAACTGGATGTTTAGTAATGCAAAGTCTCCTCAGCACTGTGAACTGATGGCTGGACATCTACGAAATCGCATAACAGCTGAAGGGGCTCACTTTGAGCTTCGGTTACACTTAATCTACCTAATCAATGATGTATTGCATCACTGGTAAGGATTAAAATGTATTCTTCAGTTTGTTACTCTCGTTTGTTACACTCATTAGTTTAAGGGATAGTCAGGGAGCACCCTGGTATACAATTTATACTTGGTCTGATTTGACACAGTTTTTTAAATATGTTTTTAAGTACATGTTTCTATCATGTTTAGTGAGTGTAGCGTTATGTTTATAATTGCTGCAAAGTGCTAATAATTCAGTTCTTTAACTTTTAAAGTCATTGCCAGCTGAAGTTAAAAATGAGGTTACAGCTGGTTAAAAATGAAAAGTAGTTATTCATATACAAATGAGTTACTAACCATATATTTCTGTATTTGGATGAGATACATATGTAGATATTGTAGCTCATTTAACAGTATAATAAAGACTCATCTACTTTTTTCTCCCTTTTATAGCCAGCGGAAGCAAGCACGAGATCTTCTGGCTGCTTTACAGAAGGTGGTTGTACCTATATATTGTACTAGCTTTTTAGCTGTGGAAGAGGATAAGCAACAGAAAATTGCCAGAGTGAGTAGTTTTAGGTTGAGCCTTAGGTTTCTGTTTTCAGTGTTGGAGGAGCGGTGTAGCTTACTATACCCTAATTTTATTCTGTCACGCCTGTCATGTGCTTAACAGAATTTCTTTTTCTTCCTGGATTTATACAGCTTCTTCAGCTGTGGGAGAAAAATGGCTACTTTGATGAATCAATTATTCAGCAGTTACAGAGCCCAGCTCTTGGACTTGGCCAGTACCAGGTTAGCCATGAGAGAAAGTTGGGCTCTCTTTATAATTACATAATAGATTACAGACACATTTTAAGTGTCAAATGCAGTAACTCATTTTTTTTGTGAGATATAAATAGTAGCGGTATCTTTGTTATGAACTTTTACTCTACTGAATTACAAAAGTTAATAAAATGGGGCCACTTAAAATATAGCATAAAATAATACTGTTCTGATTAGGCCTAGTTTCTTCATCCCTTTATCCCATCAGCTTCCTCATCTCTGACCCTTCTCTCTTGATGTGTGTGTTCTCTTTACACCCACTTCCACTTTTTGCTTGCTTGCCTTTCATTCTTTTATTTCTCTGACTGTTGTTAAAGTTGTTTATAGTACCATATGTATTAGTGGTTAACCCCTTGTGAGCAGCATTCATTCTAGATGTCCTAACTCCCAACTTTCAAATAAGACAAGTACAGTTGGAAGAGGGGATATGTTATCTGGGGGAGCCTATATGAGCAGGGCTGGTATTTGTTGTGGCGGCAACAGCAGCTTCTTGGAAATGCTCATCTTAATTTGTATGTCATCCTGTCAGGCAACTTTGATCACAGAATATGCATCAGTGGTACAGCCTGTGCAGGTGGCCTTCCAGCAGCAGATACAGAACCTAAAAACACAACATGAAGAGTTTGTCAATAGCTTAACACAACAGCCACAGCAGCCGCAACAACAAATACAAATACCACCACCTGAGAGTGAAGTAAAATCAACACCCCCAGCTCCAGCTCCCACACCTGCTCCGGCTCCAACACCTGCTCCAGTCAGTCAAACAGGTATGATTGCATTCTCGGGCCTTGTGTGTTACTAAGTGTGTAAAATCCTGTTTAATTGGCTAACTGGTTAAACATACATAATTAAAGGGAGGAGGAGCGGGGGTGGGCTGCTCTAGGGTTGGGCTTGCCCCCCCACTGGCAGGGCTTCAGCCCGTACAGAGCAGCCCCTGCCTGCGCCCGTGCACACACCCTGCTGCAGAAAGGGGCTGCATCAGTTGGAATCCTGGAGCAGCCCCTGCATGAGGGGTGCATGGGTCCGCTGCAGGCAGGGGCTGCTCCAGCCTGTCCAAAGCAAACCCTATCCATGACTGCTCACCTCAATTAACTGGTTAAACCTTCACATCTGTATGTGTTACAAGGCAATCCGTGGCAATTTCCTCAGAATTCATCACTTGTCTCCTAGTGGGCTGCTATTTAGACTGACTTAGCATCGCTTATAAGTTCAGTGGGCAGATACTTCTTGTTTTTATGGTGTCTAGCTTCTCAGGGCTAATTCTGGTTGTAGCTTTCATGAACTACTGCAATATAAAAATTGAATAACTTTTAAATTAGATTGAATACCTTATTGATTTGAAGTGATCGTCCCCATCTTTAGCCTTATGGTATTGTACCATTCTCTAACCAGAACCACTTGTGTTTAAGAGTTTACAGTATGACTGTAAATGTTCATGGGCAGGGCTTGGCGAACGGCGCCAGCCCCACATTGCGCAGGCGCCCGGCTGAAATGGCGAGTAGACTCAATACTTTGTCGAGCCCTATTCATGGGTCTGTTCTTGGTAGTGTGTGATTCTTATTTATCTTTGGTAGCTTGATTTAAAGGAGCTGGGCATTCACAAATACCATTAAATTCTGTTCAGGACCTTTGCAAATAATATCTTTGGATACTGATGTATGTACCTAAATACCTAGGAACACAGGTTTTTAATTTTGCCAGAGAAAAGCAATGCTGGCATATCAAATAAGGCCCTTTTAAAAGGGCAATCAACTTGAGTTGAATTTATTTGAATATTTTGATGAGTTTTCAGCAGTCACTCAAACTGAAAGATATTGGCAAAAATGTTTTTAAAGGTTTTTTCCCTTGTGCATTTGACAGCACTTCCTGTATGGAGAGAACAGATTCCATATTTATTAAATGGAGAAATGTGATTGTAAAGTCTGTTTTACCCTCCCAAAAAACTGGTAGGGGTTTTGGGGAAGACATAGGACTTGCTATGCCTTCATAAAAAAATTGCTAGACTTGAAGTTGGTGCCACTTCAAGATTGTGTGACATACTGAGGTTGTTGCACACTTGGAAAACAAGGTTCCCTCTAAACTGTGCTGCAGCAAGGTCCCATAGCTGCTTGGCTGCCATTTAGACCGGCTGAGAGAGTTTTGCTACTCGTGTCATCAGCAGGGAGCTGCTGCTGTAGTTGAGGGAGAAATACAGACCTCTTTCTCTCAACCCACCCTCCCAAGCTCCAGGTAGTTCACTGCCTAGCAGCTCTGAGCCGCTGGGCTGGGCTCATTAATCAGCTGCAGGGCCGTGCTACACTGTGCAGCTTAGAGGAAACCTTGTTGGTAAGCGTTTACAACTATCCTGAAATAAAGAAACCAATAATTGTAGGCTCCTGGCCAAGGGGACACTTTTTTTTCCTGTTTGGGTAACACCAGAACATTGGAAAATACATTGGACTAGTCACTAGGGCTGCGTCTATACTGCACTCTTCTTGCACAAAAGCCTATGCAAATGAAGTGCAGATTAGCATATTGCTGTGCTTCATTTGCATAAATAATTAGGGGCCGTTTTTGCGCAAGAGGCTTTTGCGCAAAAAGGAGCTGTGTAGACGGCTTTTGTGCAAGAGCTGTTCTTCCTGACAAAATGAGGAAGAATGGCTCTTGTGCAAGAAGGGGGGTTTGTGCAAAAAGGAACCGTCTACACAGCTCCTTTTTGTGCAAAAGCCTCTTGTGCAAAAATGGCTCCTAATTATTTATGCAAATGAAGCATGGCAATATGCTAATCTGCACTTTATTTGCATAGACTTTTGCACAAGAAGAGTGCAGTATAGACGTAGCCTAAATGTGTTTTATTATTAAATTCTTGCTGTAGGGAATTGGGGACTAGGTGATTCCAGAGTCTCTTGCTTTCTGTTGCTTTACTAGGATCCTAATGAGTGGGGACTGATTAGGCTCTTGCTCTAGAACATGGTGGAATCTCCATCCCTACAGGTTTTTAAGTGTTGGCTTGACAAAGCCCTGGCTGAGTTGATATAGTTGGGATTGGCTCTGCCGGAGAAGACAGTATGTCTGGGCAAAATTCACATTAGGGAAGAAAACTATTAGATCCTCTCCTGGGATAGTGCTTGGGGTGTGCTGTAGACTACTGGGATCTAATTTGGATATGGATAGAGACCTCTTTAATGTTTTTAATAAAGTAAATACTAATGGAAACTGCGTAATCATGGGAGACTTCAACTTTCCACATATAGACTGGAGAACAAGTGCTAGTAATAATACAATAAACTTCCGATAATCCGGCACCTATAGGACCCAGGGGGTGCCGGATTATCAAATATGCTGGACCATCGGAAGGGGGGGCCTAAGAGGGGCTGAGGTGGAGTGGGGGGGATGCGCCCCTCAGCACTGCAGGTCCAACCCAGCAGCACCCCAGCTGCTCTGCCCCAGGCGTCCCCAAGTCAGCTGCTGCTTAAACTGACCAGCGACTGACTCCGGGAAGCCGGGGGCAGAGCAGCTCCAATTGTCCGGCTGCCCAGAGCACTTCCGGGTTCCAGATGGTGCTGGACCATCAGGAGTGCCGGACCACTGGATGCTGGACCACTGGAGTTTTACTGTAATAGGGCTCAGATTTTCCTAGAAGCGATAGCTGATGAATTCCTTCATCAAGTAGTTGCTGAACCAGCAAGGGGGGATGCCGTTTATTTGGTTTTGGTGAGTAGTGAGGTCCTCATAGAAGAAATGGTTGTAGGGGACAACCTTGGCTCCAATGATCATGAGCTAATTCAGTTCAAACTAAATGGAAGGATAAACAAAAATAAATCTGAGACTAGGGTTTCTTATTTCAAAATGGCTAACTTTAATAAATTAAGGAAATTAGTTAGGGAAGTGGATTGGACTAAAGAAATTATGGATCTAAAGGCGGAGGAGGCCTGGGATTATTTTAAGTTAAAGTTGCAGAAGCTATCAGAAGCCTGTATCCCAAGAAAGGGGAAAAATTTATAGGTAGGTGTGTTAGACCAAGCTGGATGAGTAAGGATCTCAGGGTATGTCTAAACTACCCCCCTAGGTTGCAGAAAGCTACCTTATTGAGGTTAGAAAGTGTAGGGACAAAGTGAGAGAGGCTAAAAGTCAGGTAGAGTTGGACCTTGCAAAGGGAATTAAAACAAATAGTAAAAGGTTTTATAGCCATATAGATAGGAAAAAAAATGAAGTGGGACTGCTAATCACTGAGGATGGAGTGGAGGTTAAGGATAATCTAGGCATGGCCCAATATTTAAAAAAATACTTTGCTTCAGTCTTTAATGAGGAGCTTAGGGATAATGGCAACATAACAAATGGGAATAAAGATGTGGAGGTAGATATTACCATATATGAGGTAAAAGCCAAACTCGAACAGCTTAATGGGAATAAATCGGGGGGCCCAGATAATCTTCACCCAAGAATATTAAAGGAACCGGTACATGAAATTGCAAGTCCATTAGCAAAATTTTTTTAATGAATCTCTAAACTCAGGGGTTGTACCATTTGACTGGAGAATTGCTAATATAGTTCCTACTTTTAAGAAAGGGAAAAAAAAAAGTGACCCGGGTAACTTACAGGCCTGTTAGTTTGACATCTGTAGTATGCAAGGTCTTGGAAAAAATTTTGAAGAAGAAAGTAGTTAGGGACATTAAGGTTAATGGCAATTGGGACAAATTACAAAATGGTTTTACAAAAGGTAGATCGTGCCAAACCAACCTGATCTCCTTCTTTGAGGAAGTAACAGATTTTTTTAGACAAAGAAAATGCAGTGGATCTAATCTACCTTGATTTCAGTAAGGCGTTTGATACAGTCCCTCATGGGAAATTATTGGTTAAATTGGAAAAGATGGGGATCAGTATGAAAATTGAGAGGTGGATAAGCAACTGGTTAAAGGATAGACTACATCGGATCATACAGAAAGGTGAACTGTCAGGTTGGAGGGAGGTTACTAGCAGAGTTCCTTAGGGATCAGTTTTGAGACCAGTTTTATTTAATCTTTTTATTACTGACCTCAGCATCAAAAGTGGGAGTGTACTAATAAAGTTTGCGGATAGCACAAAGTTGGGAGGTATTGCCAATTCAGTAAAGGATTGAGATAGCATACAGGAAGATCTGGATGACCTTGTAAACTGGAGTAATAGCAATAGGATAAAATTTAATAGTGAGAAGTGTAAGGTTATGCATTTAGGGATTAATAACAAGAATTTTAGTTATAAGCTGGGGACACATCAGTTGGAAGTGATGGAAGAGGAGAAGGACCTCGGAGTCCTGGTTGATCACAGGATGACTGAGCCGCCAATGTGACATGGCTATGAAGAAGGCTAATATGGTCTTGGGATGCATTAGGCGAGGTATTTCCAGTAGAGATAAGGAGGTGTTGCTGCCGTTATACAAGGCACTGGTGAGACCTCATTTGGAATACTGTGTGCAATTCTGGTCTCCCATTTTTAAGAAGGATGAATTCAAACTGGAACAGGTACAAAGAAGGGCCACTAGGATGATTTGAGGAATGGAAAACCTGTCTTATGAAAGGAGACTCAGGGAGCTTGGCTTGTTTACTTTAACCAAAAGAAGGCTGAGGGGGGGACATGATTGCACTCTTTTTAAATATATTAGAGGGATAAATACCAGGGAAGGAGAGGAATTATGTAAGCTCAATACCAATGTGGACACAAGAACAAATGGATATAAACTGGCTAGCAGGAAGTTTAGAATTGAAATTAGATGAAGGTTTCTGACCATTAGAGGAGTGAAGTTCTGGAACAGCCTTCCAAGGGAAGTAGTGGGGGCAAAAGACCTATCTGGCTTCAAGATTAAGCTAGATGGGTTTATGAAGGGGATGGTTTGATGGGATAACATGATCTTGGCAACTAATTGACCTTTCACTATCAGTGGTAAATAGGCCAATGGTGGGATGATAGGAGTTACTATAGAGAATTTTTTCCTGAGTGTCTGGCTGGTGAGTCTTGCCCACATATTCAGGGTTCAGCTGATCGCCATATTTGGGATCGAGAAGGAATTTTCCTTCAGGGTAGATTGGCTGAGGCCCTGGAGGTTTTTCGCCTTCCTCTGTAGCATGGGGCACGGATCACTTGCTGGAGGATTCTCTGCATCTTGGGGTCTTTAAACCATCATTTGAGGACTTCAATATCTGAGATATAGGTGAGAGGATTATTCCAGGAGTGGGTGGGTGAGAGAGATTCTGTGGCCTGCACTGTGCAGGGGGTCAGACTAGATGATCATAATGGTCCCTTCTGATCTTAAAGTCTGAGTCTCTTCCAGCCCAATGATTCTATGAATGTGGTGGCTGTTTTGAGCGGGGTGAGCATTTGAGGGACTGAAGGTGTATTAAAAGTGTTGCTTGGGTCCTTAACTCAAATAATGTTTGGTTTTTCTTTGTTTAAATCATTGCTCTGGGGTGGGGCTGGGGATGAGTTCAGTATAGGGATGTGAATAGCTAGTCGCTTCCTCCCCTTGCTGCCTCTGTCAGAAAAAGGCAGCAAGGGGGGGGGAGAAAAGGGAATACTTCAAAGCAGCAGCACTGTGTGGAGCCTGGGATCAGCCGGGGACTCCCCCGCTGACCTCAAGCTGCCTGCAGTGCTGCCACTTTAAAACGCCATGTGGGGCATGATGTGGGGCATGATCAGCATTTCAAAGCGACAGCACTGCATGGAGCCTGGGATCATAGGGGAGTCTCCAGCTGACCCCGGACTCCAGGTGATACTGCTGCTTTGAATCACTGTGGGGAGCATGGGGCCAGGAGGGGACTGTCCTGTTGGCCCTGTGCTCCCCGCAGCACTTTCATCTTTGAAGGCGGAGGCTCCCTATCGACTAATCAAAGTTTGAACATTCTTAGTTCAGTATGTAGGCTGCCCCCGAGAGAGGGGAGTACCCCAGCCCTCTGTCAATGCAGCAGCTTGCGTTCAGATTGAAAGCACCTTTCCATAGCCACTGCAGCTCCAGCAGGCACAGCCAGGAGATGGGAGCATGTCCCCCAGCAGGGGCATGTCCTGATACATCTGCCCTCTGCATCCCCTAGCAAGAGCGAGGAGTGGAGCAAATTGTGCACTTTCCCTCACCTCTCGATGAAAGGGAGCAACCAACAATGTTCCCATAGAAATAGGGGAAGACCTTCAACCTCCCCCTCCTTGGCCATCCTTCCTAAAGGGCCCCGGGGCCTGAGAAGCTTGGGGTTGGAGCAGTCCCAGATGGGTGGGGCACACGTCTCAGCCAGCTCTTTTCACTTCTTGGTGATTGTATCTTCTGTATAGTTTTATGAGAAGCAATTCCATTCTGGGCACATCCTGTCTTCTGGGCACAATCAAACCCTTGCCTTGGTTTAAGTTATGATAAGAGGAAGCTGCATACTGAATTTGGAGATCTTGAACAGACAGGCAGGCACACACAAATATATAGTAGATTTCCTTCTGTCTCCAGAAGCTGATATAAATATAAATATAAAACTAAATGATGGGTTTTAATTTGGTGGGCACCTCCTGACCTCAGCTTATTGAGCCCAGTGAAATTTGAAATGGACTAAGTCTGTAGATCAAACCAGTGTTTGGTAGCAATTCCATGCAACAGAGGGTGCTTCTTACGAGAGTCTCCAATTTATTTCAGATGATGGCAAATCACAGCTTCCTCTAGCTGGTTCTTCAGAATATGATACAACAGGGACTGGGGTGCAAGATCCTGCAGCTTCTGGACCACGTGGCCCTGGGCCTCATGATCAGATTCCTCCAAATAAACCACCCTGGTTTGACCAGCCTCATCCTGTTGCACCTTGGGGTCAACAACAGGTACCAAACATGTCACTATCGCTATGGTAAAGTACTATGCTGAGGTGCCCAATAATCGTTAGATTGTAAAAATCACATGGTAGGAGCTTGGTGAAAACCTGGAAATGTTCTAGTCCAGATTTAAAATATCTGCTAGGTAGATATTCTGTTCAATAACAGGTATTTTCTTATCGTTAATGACAGGACTGAGAACTCGGTTCCTCAAATTCTCCATCTGTTTGTCCGAACTTGCATGTAAAGCAGACTGTACACCAATATTTGTTCCCCCTCTTCTGTGCACATGCAGGACTCACGTGCTAGGTAGCAAAAATAGCCTTTTTTATTACATTATTTATAGCCTTATGACCAGCCTCCTTACCCTCCCCCCAGGGCCCACCACACTGTCCTCCATGGAATAACAACCACGAAGGAATGTGGAATGAACAAAGAGACTCAGGATGGAATAACCAGCGGGAGACCCCTTGGAATAACCAGCCAGATCCTTCTTGGAACAACCAGTTTGAAGCACCATGGAATAACCAGCATGAGCAGCCTCCCTGGGGTGGGGGCCAAAGGGAACCTCCATTTCGAATGCAACGTCCACCCCACTTCAGAGGCCCATTCCCTCCACATCAGCAACATCCCCAGTTCAATCAGCCCCCACATCCACATAATTTCAACCGCTTCCCACCTCGCTTCATGCAGGACGACTTCCCACCGCGTCATCCCTTTGAAAGGCCACCATATCCTCATCGTTTTGACTATCCCCAAGGGGACTTCCCTCAAGGTAAAGTGGGTGCTGAGGATGCTGATGCTGATTGCAGCTTAAAATTCCTTATGATGAGAGCTTGGTGTCAAACGAATGGGGAAAGCTCTGTCTCTTCAAGGGCTGGGAAGTAGCTATTTGCTTGTACTGAGAGTTATTGTGTAAGGCATTTGATGCCTCCTGCGTCTCGTTGTTCCTTTCTCTGATGTAATGGACAGTTGGAACTCATTATAAATTACTGCAGTTGGCCAAAGCCTCTTGCAAGAGTGTCCAGATGCTAGTGAAGGGGTGGGGCCAGGAGACTTCTTGTGCTCCCCCAGGCCAATAGGGGGGTTTGTGTGAGAAGTCTTCCTCCCTCCCCCGCCCCTAAAGAGAAATGCCACCTGTTTTAAAACAGCTGGTGGTTCCCTCTAGGCTCCTAGTGGGAGGAGACCTCATGCACTTTCCCTGCCCCCAGGCCAGTCAGGGTCTGGAGACAGGGCAGTGCGTGAAGTCTCCTCACCCTGCAAGAGTATGTGGCGGCTAGAGTCATAATGGCTATTTTAAAACCTCCAGTGTCTGTCTCTAGCCACTGTGCGCCCCTGGCAGGGCATGGAAAGAATACAAGAGACTTTGCACTCCCCACCCACAGGCCCTGATAAGCCTGGGGGCAGGGAGTGAATAAAGCTCCACCCATTGTCAAAGGTGTGTGGCAGCTAGAGATAGAAGCCAGCTGTTTTAAAACAGCCAGTGTGTCTCGCCACTGCGGGGGTGAGGAGACTTTCCATCAGCTTGGCGGGCCAGATCCGGCCTATGGAGGGCCCTTTGCCCACCCTTGTGCTAGTGCAAACCATGTAGTGCTCTTTTTGCAGCTATGCATCTTAGTTGTAGATTTCCAAAGCTAGAAGGGTCCACAATGATCATCTGGTTTGACCACCTGCATAACTCAGGACTGCCACGAATTAACTCTTGCTTAGAATATAAGAACGGCCATACTGAGTCAGACCAAAGGTCCATCTAGCCCAGTATCCTGTCTGCCAACAGTGGCCAATGCCAGATGCTCCAAAGGAAGGGATCACAACAGGTAATCCTCACATGATCCTCCCCTGCTACCCACCTCCAGAGAAAATGGCTTCATGTCAAATAGCTCTTAGGGGCTCTAATTCAGGGGTTGGCAACCTCTTCCAACCAAAGAACCATGCTACATAAAAATTTAGAACAAGTGGTCAACAAAGAGTCATATTGGAATGCCCATTTGCATGACTGAAAATATACAACTTAATATTGATAACTGACATGATTAATAGCATAAACGAAACATTGTTCTCAGACTTTATTTAATGACACTTGTGCTGCTGCATCTTTTCGCACATTTCTTTGAAGTTTGCATCATAACTGGTCAAACTCAGTTCATGCAGGCATTCAAGCTACCTGAGTAATTATGCTTTTTTAAAATTTCAGATTAATTTTTCATTTTAATTTAAATAGTTGCATGTATGGGAACGACAAAAGAGCCATATTTAGTTCCATACTGAGCCATATTAAGAACCATAGGTTGCAGACCCCTGCTCTAGTTCAGTCTTTTAGAAGTATGAGTAGGGAGAATAGCCTGAGAAATAGGCGTGAATAGAGTTAAACCCAGATAAGTTGATCCCTCCTCTGAATTCTAGTAGGGAACTGGAGAGACTTTTCTTCATTAAATGTAAAAGGGTGGGGGAGAGCCTGAAAATAGCAGAGAAATTTTTTCATGTTTAGTAGAACTCAATTTGAGAGACTACCAGCACCATCTAGAGTTAGGTAGTCCTAGTGCAGGCTTCTCCCTCCGGAGTGTGGCTGTGTCTGCCTGCCTGCTCGCTCATTCTTGCCCTATAGCAGCCTTTGCTGTTCCAGGCTAGAATTCCTATGCAGCTCTGCTAGAATATTTTACAGTGGCTCAGTTGTGTGCTGTCTTGGTACACACTAGGGCTGTGAACTGCTATCTGATAAGCAAATTCTTGTTGACTAGTCGCTTCCCCCCCCTTTTGCTGCCTCTATCAGAGAGAGGTGGGGGAGGGAGGCAGAGAAGGGGAGGGAGTTCTTCAAAGTGGCAGCGCGGCATGGAGCCTGGGGTCAGCTGGGGCCTCCCCCGATGGCCCCATGCTCCATGAGGTGCTGCCACTTTGAAAGGCCATGGGGAACACAGGGCCAGTGGGGGACTGCTTGAGTTCCCGCTGGCCCCATGCTCCCCACAGCACTTTTGCTTTTGAAGGGCTGTTGCTACACTTCAAAGGCAGAGGCGCCCTTATTGACTAATTGAATAGTCAATGCAAATTGCATGGATTATATGATTAGCCAAATTGAAATTTTACATCCCTCGTACACGTAGCCAGTATTTTTGTCCACTAGGGGTCATATTGAGATCAGTCATTTCCTTATTTTAACAAGAACACTTTCTCTCCTTCCTTTCAGAATGCCTTTCTATGAATGCACTTGCATGTCATATCCTCCTGTGAAACCACTCCTATCTGTTTTGTCTATGCTTCTGATTTTGGAGATGGACGTCAGTAGTGTTTGAGTCTTTAGAAGTATATCATGTGGGCGTCGTCTTTGTTGAATGCGGGTTAACATGGTTTTGAGTATAGAAACTTTCATTTTAGCACTTTCCAAACTCAAGGTACCCAGAGTAACGGGTTTTTGAAATTTCCTATTGATGTAGGTGGCTGATATGCTAGGGAAGGAGGGAGACTGTAGGTGCTTCATGACCACAGACCTGTACCCAGTGTCTTGTCTTCCTTGTAGTATTTCATGAGCTTTCCTTGTAATAAGACTTTCCCCCCTTAGAATAAATGTATGTAGTGAGGACTAGGGGCATCTCAATTAGGTGCCCTTCTTTCTGTCTTCACTTTTATGAAACCAAAGAAGGCTTTTTGTTCTCTTTTCAGAAATTGGACCTCCTCATCATCACCCTGGGCATAGATTGCCTCATCCTGGAATTGGTGAACATCCTCCTTGGGGTGGGCCGCAGCACCCTGATTTTGGACCTCCTCCACATGGATTTAACGGGCAGCCTCCTCACATGCGGAGACAAGGACCCCCTCACGTGAACCATGATGATCCTAGCCTGGTGCCAAATGTCCCCTACTTTGATCTTCCTGCTGGACTTATGGCTCCGCTTGTGAAAGTAAGTGGCTGAAATGGAAACTGAACAGAAGGGTTAAAAGATCAAACTCTCATGATTAATTTTAGGAATAGCTTAAAATTGAGTTATTTATTACCAGGGCATGACAAATTAAGCAAAACCGTACTCGCCAGACAAGAGGGACTCACCATCCCCCCTCCCCCAAAGTTTTTTTTAATGGCATAAATTCCTAATAAGAATAAGAACAGTAATTACTAATAAGTTATTAATACATATCGCCCAAGTTATTAATAAATATCTTATAAACCTCGACCTTTTCCCTCTGCTGCCATGTCTCCTCCCCTTGCTCCATCAGCTCCCCTGGTGCCTGCTGCCCCCCAACTCCTCAGCCTCTTCTGCTGTCCTGACTCCTGCCCTCAGCCTTCCTGAGACCTGGCTCCTCCACCAGCCCTTCTCTCCCACCTTGTGCCCACTCCTCCAGTAGCCCCACTCTGATCATGTGAGCTACACCTCCCTCTACACACCTGCCGTCTGCCCTTCTGCTTCACCCCCAGAATCACCTAGCACCTGCCCTCTTTGCCCTCTTTTTCCCTGATGCCTACCCCCTCATCACCCTCATGCCCCTGTGCTCTCTAACTTAATTCTAACTTAATACAAGTGAATAAAACACCAGAAAATAGACTGTAGGGAACATACTGGCTGCTATGGGATGGGTTAAATTATTCAAATGTATATAGTGTTCTAGATTCATTGATAGGTCTCGTCTGTCTCTCAATTCTGTTCTTCATAGTGCAAGACTGTTTCCCAAGTTTGTGTCAAACGCTTAGCAATCATGAGTGCAGTGTAATGCTGCAAATGACACTTACGTTTTGTTTCCTAGATTTAGATCTAATACTTGTATCTGCCAAAGCCTTATTTTTAGACTGTGTCTTTAATTCAGTAATGAAAGCAGTTAGACTCTTTAGGTATATTTCTCTCTTTAGGTAGTCACTCCATGACTTGAAAGCCACTTGTTTTGTTTCTGGCAGCTTGAAGATCACGAATATAAACCTTTGGATCCTAAAGATATACGTCTTCCACCTCCAATGCCTCCAAGTGAGAGATTGCTGGCTGCAGTTGAAGCATTTTATAGTCCTCCATCTCATGACAGGCCAAGAAACAGGTAAGAATGCATATAGGTAAGAATATGGTAAGGAAAATGCCCTGCACTGAGAAACTCTCAGGTCTTTCAGTTGGTTTTGCTAATGTCGAAGTAAGTGCTTTTAAGTTACTATTTGAACTTCATCCACTCCAGCTGAGCATGAGACCACTTTCCCCAGATCCCCTATTTCCTGGGGAAACGCTGAATGTGTCTGTGACAAAAGTGAGCTGCTCTTATATATTGGCTCTTTGTGGCTTACATTTTGCAGTGAAGGCTGGGAGCAGAATGGGCTGTATGAGTTCTTCAGAGCTAAAATGAGAGCTAGACGGAGGAAAGGTCAGGAGAAGAGAAATAGGTAAGAGGTTTCTTGTGCTGCCTTCTAACACTTGCCATTCATTTAGACTGTGCTACTGGTGCCTCAGTCATATACTGAAAATCTTTTTGATGGTGTGCTGAGGCAATAATGTCTTAAATTAAGCTTCAGAAAGTTAACACAGAAAACGGCATACTTGCCACTAGAGATGTTAGATAGCGTGTAACTGAATAGTTGTGTAACTGCATCACATTTTAGCAGTTACGTGACTATTTGATAGTCCTTGGGGGCTGGGCTGGCAGCCAGGTACTCCCAGTCCCACTTCCAGGAAGCCCCCTGCTACCCTACGCTACTGCCTTTGTATCTGTACTTGTTTGCAGTGGGGGGCCCATGGGAGCAGATGCACGCAGGCAGCTCACTTGAAAGCTGGCTTTCTGCGTGCACTGGCTTCCACCAGCCCCTCTGCGCTGTTGCATCTCTGTCAGAAGCAGCGGGGCGTGGAGGTGAGAGGGGCGGCTATGCGGGATCATGTGCTCATGGGGAGCTGGCCCCCTTCCTGCTTTTGATACAGAGGCAGGCGGGGGGGGGGGGGGGAGCACGTTTAGTCAACAGAATTAACCAATAAATCTACATGTTGACATCCCTACTTGCCACCCTGACAAGGCTTTGGCTTCACCAGATGGTCAGCAAGACAGCAGCAGTATGTTGAAATTTGGTTTAAGTGAAAATATGTTTGTTTTTATACTGCTCACGTTTCTTGGTATTTTGTTATCCTTGTGCAGTGGGCCATCTCGATCTCGCAGTAGGTCTAAAAGCAGAGGTCGCTCTTCCTCACGATCCAATTCAAGATCTTCAAAATCATCTGGCTCTTATTCAAGATCCCGATCCCGATCCTGTTCCCGATCACGATCCTATTCACGATCGCAGTCCAGGTAAGGGAAAGTAAGAGCTCCATTAGGAATGATGGTTGGCTATAAATCTAAAATGTTGGATTTGTGCCAGTATGATCCAGGGATGTTAGCTATTGGTTAATTGAATAGTTGAGTAACCACATGAAACCTGAGCCACACGGGAGCCAGTTTAAAAATCAGCTCCACTCGCAGATAGGCTGCCTGCTGCCGCTAGGCAGCGGGGGCGGAGGAAGGGGAGGAATGCAAGTAGTTGACTAGATTAACCAATAAGCCTAGGCTCAGGGAGCTCATCTGATCGGTAGGGGGAGGGGCTACATGATTTGAAACAGAGGAACTCCCAGAGCAGATAAGGAGGGATGTAAGTGGTTGGGGGGAGGAGAGAGGGAGTCATCGGCTGGGGGTTAGTCCAAGTGGAGGGGCATTTGGAGAGTCCTGTTTTCGTGAGGAGAGAGGGGCAGAGACAGACACCCAGTGCTCTCCTCAAGCCTCCTGGGCTGGGAAGGGGGAAGTAAGGGACTGACTGCCTGAGATAGGTAGGGGTAGATGGGTGCTGACTTTGGGGTGAGGTTGAAGCGGGGGGAGTTTGTGCTGCTTGTTCTGTCCTGACTCTCAGTTAGACTGCTGGTGCCTGCAAGTTTGAGAAGTAGGATTTTATCCCAGCCGGGCTGGGGGGAGCAGATTGCATAATGGAAGGTGGAGGGGGAAGAGGGTAGGTGGGTGGGTGCTGGCATCTGTACTGTGAGGTGGAGTCGGGGCAGTTTATTTGGAGTGTCCTGATTCACTTGCTGCAGTCCATGCTGGCTGGATTGGAGGGAGAGGTGGAGGGGAAAGCAGGCTGCTTAGGAGTGGGTTGTGCCAGGACATTTTGCATGATTATATTTCAAACAAGTTTTACATAGGTGTTAATGGATTATGGTAAGAGAGAAATTCTTTCAATGGAATTTTTTGGAGTGTTGCAGATATCTAAAACTCTAAGCTTAATTATTTTTTAAAATCCTGTGTTAGTAATTAATACATGGTGTATTGTATTGCATTTCAAACCAAGTATCTTTTTCACTTGTTCTTGTATAACATGGATCCTAAATATTCCCCAGAGAAACTATAAACCTTAGTGAATGCCTTTTACACTCCTTTCCAGTGTCAGTAAATATTGTATTAGTAGTTGCAAGGAAAACATGATATCTACATAGAAATAGTCTATATAATGTGAGATTTTTTGTTTGTATTGGTGATGCACATCCACACACTACCTCTGTATTGGTGTTGCACACAAGAAATTTCAACCCGCCCAACAATAGAAAATGTTAGAGGGAACACTGCTCCTGACTCTATTTTAAACCATGCTCCCTTTGCACATTCAACAAATCGCTTGTGGGTTGGCAATGCAGGGCTCTTCTCCAGAAAATGGAACATTCTGAAACTTAACTCTGTTTTTTGCTTCCTTCAGGAAACCTTACTTAGTTATTTCAATGCACCAAAGATCACAAGGTTTTGTTCAGGGCGATGAAGCTAGAGACTCAGATGTTTCAAATTAATATGTTTACTTCGTTTCTCAAATATATATAGAATGTGCCACAGTGAAGGCTGTGTGCATGACATATCAACATTTCTGTCCATAAACTTACCTTTTTAAAAATACTATTTCTTTAATGTCAGATATGAATTTCAAAAGCAATCACATGAAAAAGCTATATATTGCCTGTGTATCAGAGAAATATAACTGACATCATACACTCTCTCTTTCCAGAAGCAGGAGCAGGTCCCACTCTTCCCATAGTCGGTCACGGTCACGGTCACGATCAAGATCTAAATCTTACTCCCCGGGAAGGCGGCACCGGTCCCGATCTCGCAGTCCTACTCCTCCGTAAGGCTTGTCATTGGATTGAGTTGGTGATGTACACTCTGTCTGCAGAGACTGGCCTAACATCTCTTCTGTGGGTTTCTGTATAATGAATTGTGTAGAAAAGGGCAGGATTCAAAGCTAATCAAAACATAATTGGAAGAAACTGCACAGTCATGTTGTATTTACATGGAGAGACTAAAATTATTTTATAGTACCTGGTGATGACTGCATTATTTGTATTAAAAACCCCTAGGTTCAGAACATGGGAAGGAAGAGGAGTCCTTTGGGCATGTTTGCAGTTTACTCTTGAGAAAACCATGGTGTTTGATATCCTGGACAGTTACTGTTTGGGTTAGAGCAGGGGGAAGGAGGGAGGTGGTAGTGGAAATGCACAGAACATGCTGTAACAAGACACCTTGTATCTTGCCTTTCCAAAAGTTTATAACTGGCTAGTTATATTGGCTATAGAGGTTTAAACAATATATGTGCATAACAAATCACTTATTGAATATCTTTTAACAATGAAATGTTAACATTCTAATGATAAATTAAAACTTATATTTTCTCTTAGCTCTGCTGCTGGTTTAGGCTCTAGCTCAGGACCTCCTATACCTGATTCAAGACTCGGAGAAGAAAATAAGGGGCATCAAATGTTAGTGAAAATGGGTAAGATTTATTGTCTTTGATTGAAACAATCATCCTGATTCCACATCCAAATTGTGAAAGATTCTAAGCCGAAAAGGGAAGATTTATTGTCTTTGATTGAAACAATCATCCTGATTCCACATCCAAATTGTGAAAGATTCTAAGCCGAAAAGGGGGGGGAACCCCCAGCCTTATGACTTACGAACATAGTGTGTGTACCACCTACTCCAGCAAGGCCTTCCATATTTGGTGAGAGGCTGATATAATTTTTATGGTGACCCCTGGCTTGGACTTTTTTGCCTAAACATAATTTGTCATGCTCCTAAAGAGTGTAGAGTTCAGAAATTAAACCATGCTGCATTAATAAAATGTGGGAGGAACTTGTTCTGATACTCTGTTATCTAGGATCAACTCTATTCGATAAGACACTGGTCTACTAGATGTATGTTTTGAGCAGACTGTTTGAATTTTGATAGGCCTGGACCACTGACAGCAGGCATCAAAGAAGGCTAAACACTTTTCACAGCCACTATCTTACCGTATTTTAAATATCAAGTGGGAATCCAAAGCTCCTGAACCTAAAATACTTGAGAGAGTAAAATTACCAAGTCTAATCACTTGTCTCAGACATAGACTTTTCCATTGCTTAGTCACTTTTAATATATGAACAGTGGAATATATTATTCCACTGGCCACTAGGCCAACCTAGGCTCAGGTTCAAAGTCAATTGCAGGAGAGACTGGAAAACTTTCAGCTGCAAGCTGAGAGGAAGCTGTTAGCAACTGGCTACACTTGGTGCAGCACAGCCCTCCAGGAAATTGGAGGGAGAAAAGAAGTGGTTGAGACATGAAAGCAAAGGGTGAAGAGCAAAGACTACCAGATCTGAGGTGCTGGTAGTGTGCTGGTTTCATCTTCCAGCCCTGTCTTAGGCCTGATTGTTGTGGAAAAGACTTCAAGAATGAGACTCTTCTAGCCACTATCAGTGCTGTAGCATGATCTACTGTAATTGAGCTACTTTGATTATGCCCTTTTTTGAGTAGAATTGCTGTCATATATATTTCTCTAAAGTGACATGACTAAATACATTCCTGTATAGAATAATGTAGGACCTCGGTCATCTCTAGTCCATCCCCACCATGCTGAGGCAGCACCAAGTGTATCTAGACCAATCTCCATGGTGTTTTGTTTAACCGGTTATTAAAAACCTTCATCGATGGGGATTTTACAACCTCCCTTAGTAACCTATTACAGCACTTAACTACCTTTTATAGTTTGGAAGCTTTTCCAAATATCTAACTTAAATTTCCCTTGCTGTAGAATGTCCTACCTTAAGTGGTCATGGAAAACAGTTAATTACTGTTCTCTTTATAACAGCCCTTACCATATTTCAAATTGAATTGTCCACCTTATTTGTGCCTTAAACAAAAGGACTAGAAGAGCATGGGTTGTTTTTAGGCTTCTGTGATAAACTTCCATCGTACAGCCTTGTCTGAAACAGTATTATCACTTGTTCTATTGCAGCTCGTGTGTGTGTATATGAATGATCCCTGTAATCATAATTGATAGAGGCACTCACACTAACATTTATCCTTCCTCACCTCTTCTAGCAAAGTACTAGTCATCCCCATTTTACAGATGGGGATTGAGGCACAGAGACATTAAGTGACTTTTTGAAGGCCACAGAGGAAGCCAGGCAAAAAGCATAAGATCAAACTTGGTCCTTCTGAATTCCAGACTACTGCCCTGTTGACTGTCCTTCCTTCTAATGTAATGCCAAATCTTAGTCCCACTCTTGTCTGTGTAAATTATTTTAGCTGACAAAATAGACCTCTCCTTTTAATCATTACTAGTTTCCTGCACCCCAAAGTGTCTTGCAGCAGACAGTCACTCGTACTTGTTCCAACTTTTCTATATGGATCTTAATTGCAGGGCCAGTTTAGGGCAATGTGGGGCCCATATGTACCTTCTTGTATCCCTCCTACCCCCAGCCTCACTAAGATGGTGAGTGGTGGTAGAAGGAGCTCTCATTCCCTTCTAGAGAAGCATGGGGGTTTCCATGGGGATGGCAGCAAAGGGACTCCCTATATGAAGTGCTTACTCCAGTAGACAAACTATATCTGTGTGGTTGAGTGGGAGCATGGAACCTACTGCACTGCTGCTCCTCCCACACAGCGTCTTCTGTTAGGTGGTGGTGGTATTTCCCATTCTCTGCAGAGCAGCAGGTCTTGAAATTAATACTTGAAATGAACGAGAGAGTACACAACGCTTGATATAGCTTGAAACAATAGCTGTGAGAAGGGTGTATTCCTGTACAGTTCACACTAAGAATTTTAACAGCAAATAAGGTACTGTCCCATGTTCATTTTTTAGGATGGAGTGGATCTGGAGGATTGGGAGCCAAGGAACAAGGAATTCAAGACCCAATTAAAGGAGGGGATATCCGAGATAAATGGGATCAGTATAAAGGAGTAGGAGTTGCACTGGATGACCCATATGAAAACTACCGCAGAAATAAAAGTTACTCGTTTATTGCACGCATGAAGGCCAGAGATGAATGTAAGTGAATGATGATGGACAATCTAAAAAGCTCCTGTGAATCCTTTGTAGTTAATACAATAACTTCTTCAGCCTACTTGGCAAGGTTTTCCCTAGACCATAAAATCCAATGGAGGTCACACAGGGAATCAAAAGATTAAGAACACAGTTTTATATAATTGTTTTATTATTCACTTGTACATTTCTGGGTAAGTAAATTCTGCTCTCTGAAGATCCCAATTTCTTTGGTAAGAGTTGTAGTCACACTGCATTACTTTTGGGGGCATTGTGTGCCAAAAAATTAAAAGTCCTGCACACTATTTTAACATGAATAATTCTGCAAATTTTATTTGTTAACAAACTAATATGATTGTTTTTATTTTTTTGGGAATTTATTTCAATATCTGTTAGCAAGTATGTCTGTGATGACAACATGCACCAAAAATTCTCATAGGAGTAGAGATTTTAAAGAAACCCTGTGACAGCCTAGTTCCTGTTTCTCAGCCCTCCCTCTGAGCCCAGCTGGGGAGCCAGACACTCACAACCCTTTCCTTCCTCAAAGCCTAGTCAGGCCCACCCCACAGCAGATAGCCATACCTCTGTCCCCCATTCTCACAAGTCCAGATACCTGCACCCCTCCTCCTCCATATCCAAGGGATTCAGAGGTAGAAACATATTTGGTCCCAGGTCTAATGCAGGGAACTGCACCTGCCAAGGACTCGTTAACTCCCCCATCAATGTCTATGTACAAGCTGGGTTCTGCCAGGTCAGCCAGCAGCAGTGCAGCTCATTTAAGGGCAGGAGGAATTCTGTGTACATGACACTAACTTCTGAATAATTCTGCATTGTCAGTGACATAGAATTCCCCCAGGAGTATTAACTATGGCTGCTCTTTATTCCAGAATACTTGATTTAAATGGCAAATGCTATAGCAGCAGGAAAGAGCTATGCATTTTCTAAATACCTGAATTGAGCTTAATTTGAAATTTAGAAATTCATGTGCATTTTTAATTAACCTCTTCCTTTCCAAGTCACTTCCATTCTAATTCCATTTATTTCCCTCCTCTACAGGCCATGTTTTGGCTGTGGAGTGATTGCTATGCAGTTTGTGTTTAACCTTCAGGAAACCTGATTTAATCTCTAAACTACTGGGGGAGGCTGCCATTAAGCCAAGGGGAGTGCAGCTTGTAGAACAGGAGGAAAAAATGGCTTTGTGGGACTGAAAGACAGGCTGGCATTTTTGCATGGCTTTGTCTATCCAGCTATGAGCTGCTCATGCTCATTGTTGAGTTCTGCTCCTTTAAGGACCAGAACCAGCAGTGGACAGGCACAGCACAGGCCCTCAGTAGAGGCTCAGGAAAAATGACACTGGCAAACAACTGTAAATTAGGCCAATGTGAGCAGTACCACGGTGAAGAGAAAGAGCCTCATCTTGAAGATGAGGAAAGGATGGGCTTTGGGGGGAATTCTGAGGGATAAATACCCTTGTTGAGTAAAGATTAACAAATAGCAATGGGAAAAAACAGTAAACAAGTCACTTGTTTCATGGGGGCCTGAGCAATTGCCCTGTGAGGAGTCACAGCAAAGTCACTTCTGGCCATAGCTCTTAAGACTAACAATCTGTTTTAAAAAAAAAAAAAAAAAAAAAAAAAAAACCCCCCCAAAACAAATTTTCCAACAAAACCAAAGTTTAAAAAAAAATAAAAAAAAATAAAAAAACCCCACCCATTACTACTCTTCAGACAGAACTAAGACTAACTTCAGAATGTGTAAGAACTTTTCTCCCTATTGTTTCAGTGAAGCGTGAAACCCAAGACCCTCCACCACCTGAATAAGACTCCCTGAAATCTGAAGAAAGATGTCTTGCATCTCCTACAAAAGATTAAACTTAATCTTGTATAAATCAGGATTAATGTCTGGAGAAAGTGACATTAAATGAATTACACTTAAATCTGATGGAAAATGGAAAGCTATGACATGTACACCAACAATTTAGTGCTTTTAAAAGGCCAGTCATTTTACATGTCTAGCAAGTTTAAAAATACCCATTTATTTTGCAAACTTTTAAAAATTAGTTCCCCGTTTTATATTAGAACTAAACCCCTGCCAAGCTCTCTGTCCCTGGCTCCAGGATTGTGATCCACTCATTCCCCTGGAATACAAATGTTACTTGTTATGATTCTATGTCTCTTGTTCCATAATGTATGTTTTTCTCTCAAAGGTTAATTCTATTTGAAGTGGAGGGGTGCTGCCTTGGGAGCAAGTCAGACTGATGCTGAGCAGTGTATCCTAATGTCTAAATGGGGAATGAAGCACCTAATTCCAATACAGGTGACCTATGAGCACTGTATGAGCTTATTATTACCTACTACACAACTTAAAGCCCCTATGCACCACCTGCTGCAGTCACAACTCTATTCAGAATGCAGTGTTAACTGTTTTAGCCATTCAAGTGCTCTGAGATGTTCAAGCTTTGTAATGAAAGACATTCTTTAAGCCTTTTTATATTTTTGTATATACCCTTGAATAAAAGCTAAAACTAGTTCAGTAGACAAGACTCCATTTTCCTAACCCCACATTTCTAAATATGAAGCATTCATGAAAACCACCACCTTACCTACAAAATACCCTTTTTTGTAACTGAATTGTTTCCAGAGACCACCAGCTACAGTTGTTAGATATCCTTACACTGCACCTCCAATGCAGAGGTCTGCCAGATGGCAGCCTCTTCTAGAGCTGTTTTTACAGTTTAAAAACCCTCTTCAAATTCATCCACTCCAATATGGTAATCGGCTTGTTTAGATTTACTGTAGCTGTGAAACTGTAACTGTCTGTGAATCAGCAAAAGACATGTATGTTACCAACTTGTGAATTTTACTGTTTTGCCTTCAAATAAACACTTTTATAAAACCATCTTCAGTTTGTTTTTCAAAGTAAGTGGCTTGCCCTTACCTAGGTAAAGCAGCATCTCCTTAACTTGCCTGGAGTAGGTGTTCAGAAATTGTCAAACTTAAGGAGGACAAATATTCATACACCGTTTAAAACTGAAGCAATGTACTAAATATGGTTCTTTTGCTTTCAGACTCCTCACTTGAACTACACTGGAGATTTTGATTTTTTTTTTTTTTTAACGCAACAAACATATAATCCTTCGTTTGCTTGCTAGATTAAATGTGCTGTTTGGTAAGCTAATGTGCTAAGAAACAATCAAGATAATTAAAACAAACACTTGCTCTAGTGAGAGGCTACTTTTCTGTAATGAAGGAGCATGTACATGAGAATAAAATGTACAGAGTGCCTGAATTCTTACTGCCAAGTTAATTTTGCATACAGTATCTGCCTTTTTTAAAAACAGATGAAAATTTTATTGGTTTGAAACTTACACATGTGAAAGTAAAGCTGGTTATTCATTATGGTAAATCAACTTCTTCCAGTAATGCTTGCTCAATTGTCAGAGGTGGGGATTTGTGACTCTTGATGTACTGCAAAGTAACAAAGTTAGTTAATACTCAAATGCTATGTTAACACAAAAGATTAGTTTGCCTCACAACATCTGTTCCTTTCTACACCAGCAACAGAAGCTGTACTTGCTTTTGCTCTGTACATGTGTTTGTTGGGGGGGAGGAAGGAGAGTGATAAACAAGTTTTATATGTAAGGTCTTTGAAATAGATGCTATACAGAGAAATAGTTCCTAACACATTAAGGCCACTAGAGGGGAAGGTTAACTTAAAATATGCAACTCCAGCTAAGCTAATTGCATAGCTGAAGTCAACATATCTTACATCACGTTTTTGTGCCATCCACACAACAGGAGGTTGATGGGGGCAACTGCTCCCGCTGGCTTCCCTTACTCATGAGGAGCAGGATTACTGGCACCGATGGGGGAGCCCCCTCAGTTCGAATTAGCAGGTCTTCACTAGCCTAAATCAAACCCAGGAAGATCAGTTGCAGCAGTATCAATCTTCCACATAGTGTAGACGTGGCCTCAACAGAAAAACTTTGCAACTGGAGTTAGAGCTGAAATTGAGTGCTTGTGCATATGCATTAAGATCTTTAATTACACACTCTTCTACATCTTCCTCCTTCCCCCGTTTCATTCCCTGAGCACTATCCTGTACATTGAAGCAGGGTAGTGAATGTAGTTGTTTGAGGCCCCATGCCTCATTTATTACAGAAGGTGTGTAGTGAACAAAGAGGATGACTGCAAAAAGAAAGGGTAGTCATATGCTTAAGGCAGCCAAATGGAGGCCTGTCTTTCAGAGTACTTGCGTGGTTCTGGGTAAGTCATTTAAACCATCTATGAAATTTTTGGTTTAACTTTATAGAGAGGATATGATTTTACAGGAATGTTGAGCAGTCAGTAAGTGATGTCAGTGGAAGGTGTGCAGTATACATAACATGCAAAATACTCAAATGGGCTCTTGTAAATTGGGTACTCAAAATTAGTGGACAGTTCAGTTTTGATCTCCCATCCCGTTGTATAAAATGGAGATAAGTCATCTTCCGGAGTGGTTTTGAAAAATTGTTTTCAAGATGATGAGCACAGAAAAAAGCACAAAAGATTTATATTTACCTATGGGTTATGTCTACACTAGCAGCTTCTTTTGCAAAAACTTGCCTTGCTGTCTACACTGCACGAGCGTTCTTGCGCAAATAAATTTACAGTATAGCGTTGTAAAACAGGGCTTCTTCCAGAAGAGTTATTCCTCTCCCCATGAGGAATAAGCCCTCTTGCACAAGAGCTCTTCCACAAGAGTGCAGTGTAGACAGACCACATGAATTTCTCAGAAGGGGGCAGGCCTGACCTAGGCAAGCAGGCTTTAAAAAGCCAGAGCAGTGCGACCAGGGGAGCGAAGCGGACAGGGGACTGCAGACAGGGGAATTGAAGAGGGAGTTGGGCAGAGGGAGTGACTGATGGTGATGAAGACCCGAAGCGCTTGTGCCAGTACTTCTCCTGTCTCCTCCACCTGTGCCTGTATCCAGACAGAGAACCTGAGCATGGATGCCTCTACCCAGGTCCTGGTGTGGTCTTGCTGTATTTGTGGCTTGCAATTCCCACTGAGTGATCTCCAGGCTGGGGGAGACAACCATTGTGAAAGGTGCCTGCTGGTGGAATCTCTCAGGCAGCAGGTGGGAGAGCTACAGGAGGAGGTGGCCAGGCTGAGGAGCATTCGAAGCCATGAGGAATTCCTGGACAGTATTCCTGTGGAGTCCACGGATGTCACTGTCCTAGGATGTAGGATTGTTGACCAGCCACTTATGGAGGAGGCAGTGGTGCAGGGTGAGCACTGGCAGCTGGGTAAAATGGAGGAGACCAGGCCTTGCACCACCAAGGATGAGCAGTCTCCTGACACCCACCCCTGCTCCTAACCCTCCCACTGTGTTGTTACATAACCGTTACACTTTACTTTCTGCAGGAGACAAGGAGTCACCCCCCACAGTGGAGGAGACCAGGCCTTGCACCACCAAGGTTGAGCAGCCTCCTGCCACCACTGCGAGGAGGAAATGTAGGGTAGTGGTGGTTGGAGACTCTCTTCTGAGGGGAACGGAGGCACCCATCTGTCGCCCTGACAGCTCATCTCGAGAGGTATGCTGTCTGCCAGGGGCCCGTATCCGAGATGTTACGGAGGCATTGTCGAGGATTATCCGGCCCTCTGACTACTACCCCATGCTACTCATCCACGTGGGCACAAATGATACTGCCAGGTGTGACACTGAGCGGATCAAGTGTGACTACAGGGCCTTGGGTGTACGGGTGAAGGAGTTTGGAGCGCAGGTGGTATTCTCTTCTATCCTTCCTGTCAAAGGTAGGGGCCCGGGCAGAGAGAGGTGCATCCTGGAGGTGAATGCCTGGCTGCGACGATGGTGTCGCCAGGAGGGATTCGGCTTCCTTGATCATGGGGTGCTCTTCCAGGAAGGACTGCTTGGCGAAGATGGAGTTCACCTTTCCAGAAGTGGGAAGGCCTTGTTTGGACACAGACTGGCTAACCTTGTGAGGAGGGCTTTAAACTAGGTTCGACAGGGGCAGGTGAGCAAAGCCCACAGGTAAGTGCTGCATGTGTGGGACTGGGAGATGGGGGGGACTACGGCCTATCATGGTAAGGAGAAAGGAGGGTCAGGGCACAACAGGGAGGCAAGATCAAATCAGTATCTTAGATGCCTATATACAAATGCGAGAAGTATGGGTAATAAGCAGGAAGAACTGGAATTGCTAACCAATAAATACAACTATGATATCATTGGTATTACAGAAACCTGGTGGGATGGGACACATGATTGGAATGTTGGTATGGAAGGGTACGGCTTGCTCAGGAAGGACAGACAGGGAAAAAAGGGAGGAGGGGTTGCCTTGTATATTAAAAATGTACACACTTGGACTGAAGTGGAGATGAACGTAGGAGATAGCAGTGTAGAGAGCCTCTGGGTTAAGCTTAAAAGGAGTAAAAAACGAGGGTGATATCATGCTAGGAGTCTACTACAGGCCACCTAGCCAGGTGGAAGAGGTGGATGAGGCCTTTTTTAAACAATTAACAAAACTATCCAAAGCCCAAGATTTGGTGGTGATGGGGGACTTCAACTATCCAGACATATGTTGGGAAACTAACACAGCGAGGCACAGGCTATCCAATAAGTTTCTGGACTGCATTGGAGACAACTTTCTGTTTCAGAAGGTTGAAAAAGCTACCAGAGGAGAAGCTGTTCTGGATTTGGTTTTAACAAATAGGGAGGAACTAGTTGAGAACTTGAAAGTGGAAGACAGTATAGGGGACAGTGATCACGAAATAATAGAGTTCATGATCATAAGGAAAGGTAGAAGGGAGACCACCACAATTGAGGTTATGGATTTCAGGAAGGCAGATTTTGATAAGCTCAGAGAACTTGTAGGTAAGGTCCCATGGGAAGCAAGACTGAAGGGAAAAACAACTGAGGAGAGTTGGAAGTATTTCAAAGGGACGTTGTTAAGGGCCCAAAAGCAAACAATTCCGCTGTGTAGGAAAGATAGAAAATATGGCAAAAGACCAGCTTGGCTTAACAAGGAGATCTTGCACAATCTCAAAATAAAAAAGGAGTCTCATAAAAAATGGAAACTAGGACAAATAACAAAGGATGAATATAGGCAAGCAACACGGGAATGCAGGGGCAAGATTAGAAAGGCAAAGGCACAAAATGAGATCAAACTAGCTACAGGCATAAAGGGAAACAAGAAGACCTTTTATAAATACATTAAAAGCAAGAGGAAGACCAAGGACAGGGTAGGCCCACTGCTTAGCGAGGAGGGAGAAGCAGTAACAGGGAACTTGGAAATGGCGGAGATGCTCAATGACTTCTTTGTTTCGGTCTTCACCGAGAAGTCTGGAGGTGTGCCTAACGTAGTGAATACAAGCAGAGAGAGGGTAAGTTTAGAAGATAGGATACACAAAGAACAAGTTAAAAATCACTTAGGAAAGTTAGATGTCAGCAAGTCACCAGGTCCTGATGAAATGCATCCCAGGATACTCAAGGAGCTGATAGAGGAGGTATCTGAGCCTTTAGCTATGATCTTTGAAAAATCATGGCAGACAGGGGAGATTCCAGAAGACTGGAAAAGGGCAAATATTGTGCCCATCTATAAAAAGGGGAATAAGAACAACCCAGGAAACTACAGACCGGTCAGTTTAACGTCTGTCCCAGGGAAGATAATGGAGCAGGTAATTAAGGAAATCATATGCAAACACTTGGAAGGTAATAAAGTGATAGGGAATAGCCAGCATGGGTTTGTGAAGAACAAGTCATGCCAAACTAATCTGATAGCTTTCTTTGATAAGATAACGAGCCTTGTGGATAAGGGAGAAGCGGTGGATGTCATATACCTAGACTTTAGTAAGGCATTTGATACGGTCTCGCATGATATTCTTATTGATAAACTAGGCAAATATAACTTAGATAGGGCCACGATAAGGTGGGTGCATAATTGGCTGGATAACCGTAGTCAGAGAGTTGTTGTTAACGGTTCTAAATCCTGCTGGAAAGGGATAACAAGTGGAGTTCCTCAAGGGTCTGTTTTGGGACCCATACTGTTCAACATCTTCATCAATGATGTAGATATTGGGATAGAGAGTACGCTTATTAAGTTTGCAGATGATACCAAACTGGGTGGGGTTGCAACTTCTTTGGAGGATAGGGACATAATTCAAAATGACCTTAGCAAGTTAGAGAAATGGTCAGAGGTAAACAGGATGAGGTTTAATAAAGAGAAATGCAAAGTGCTCCACTTAGGAAGGAACAATCAGTTCCATACATACAAGATGGGAAGCGACTGTCTAGGAAGGAGCATGGCAGAAAGGGATCTAGGGGTCATAGTGGACCACAAGTTGAATATGAGTCAACAGTGTGATGCTGTTGCAAAAAAAGCAAATATGATTCTAGGTTGTATCAACAGGTGTGTTGTAAGCAAAACTCGTGAAGTCATTCTGCCGCTCTACTCTGCACTAGTTAGGCCTCAGCTGGAGTACTGTGTCCAGTTCTGGGCGCCACATTTCAAGAAAGATGTGGAGAAATTGGAAAGGGTACAGAGAAGAGCAACAAGAATGATTAAAGGTTTAGAGAACATGACCTATGAAGCCAGGCTTCATGAACTGGGCTTGTTTAGTTTGGAAAAAAGAAGATTAAGGGGGGACATGATAGCGGTTTTCAAATATCTAAAAGGGTGTCACAAGGAGGAAGGAGAAAATTTGTTCCTCTTGGTTTCTGAGGACAGGACAAGGAGTAATGGGCTTAAAGTGCAGCAGGGGAGGTTTAGATTGGACATTAGGAAAAAATTCCTAACTGTCAGGGTGGTCAAATATTGGAATAAATTGCCAAGGGAGGTGGTGGAATCTCCCTCTCTGGAGATATTTAAGAACAGGTTAGATAGACATCTGTCAGGGATGGTGTAGACAGAGCTTGATCCTGCCTTGAGGGCGGGGGGCTGGACTCGATGACCTCTTGAGGTCCCTTCCAGTCCTATTATTCTATGATTCTATGAAAAGCATGAGTGGCGTGGAGAGGGTGCATAAAGAAAAGTTCTTCAACTGCCAGTGTAGACATAGCCATAGAGTTCAAAATGGTGAATACTAAAATATCTGGGAACATGCATTCAATAATTTTAAAAAAATTCTGTGGGGACTGTCTATTCAATGCACTGCATGAGGCAAGGGTCTTATGGAAAATATGCAACTTGAGCATAATTCATATGAATAAATGGCCTGAACAGAAGTGAGATCAGTGGTCTTAATTCTGTATTCCTAACCTGGGTACTTCATTTTGCAAGCATAAGTCTTTTACCAGATTAGATAGTTACACTATTTAGTGAAAAATTAGCCACATGGTGCTTAAACGTTTGTCTAGCAACTCAGAACCCACTCTATCAAAGTCCTATAGTAGCCATAACATACATCTCTAAAGAACTAGCTTCCCCCATTTAAGATATGGTGCTATTCTGAACTAGCAATGAGAAGTTCTGTGGCACCTTAAAGATGTTAGGGTGTATCTGCAAAACCATCACAGCTACCCCTCCAAGACCTATCTAGCAAGCAGCCGTAACCCCTTGGATGCTGCAGAGAACTATCTGTGTCTGGCTAATAGAAGATCTTTCAAACTTGTTTTAATCTAAATAGCAGCTAAGCAAACACTTTGTTAATCTGGCTACATCTAGACTACAAAGGTAATTTAGAAAAAGACAAAATGCAATTTGTGTATCTGTTCCCACTTTTCTGTCGAGGCTTTTCCAAAATTTGGCATGTCCACAGGGTGCCAAATTTCAGAAAAACCTGCTCTTTAACACATCCCTTCTTCCTCATAGAATGAGGTGTACAGGGATGTCAAAAGAGCCTGTCTGCTTTTCCAAAAACTGGTTTTGCGGGATACCTCTGGCATCCCAGAAAAGTGCTGCAGTCTAGACATAGCCCTCTAATGGGGAATAAATGGTACTGGAAAGAGCTGTTTCTTTGCTATAAATTTCTTTAGCAGAGGAAGGGGGAGAGTCACATACATTATGCTCATGTTTAGACTCAGTTCATATTTACTATAAACTGTCTTGTGCTCTAGCCTGGTGTTCTCAACCTTTTTTCAAGGCTCTCCCCCCAACATGTTCTTAAACTCTATGGTCCATCTGTGCCACAACTGTTTTTCTACATATCCAGATTAAGTGAGGGTTAAGTTAGGGAGTCACAGGGCAATTGCTCAGGCCCCCATAAAACTAAATTGCTTGGGCTTTATTTTTGCAGTTTTAGAACTGCAAACTCTGCCAACTCTGTTCTCTGATTTATTTTGGTAGACCCCCTGAGCCCTGCTCACACCTTGCCATCTCAAGAACTGCTGCTCTAGAAAACATTCAATTTGTGCTCTGCTGCAATTACCTCCTTGGCTTCTGCCAGTGTGTGATATTGAAACTTCTCATCCTCCAGTGACTCCACAAGTGATAAATGAAGATGGTGGATGGTCTCCACAAACTGCTGAGTTAGTAGCAAATGCTGTTTTAACATGTCATTTAAAGCAAACACTGCAGGACTATATGCAGTCAGGGCTACAAGCAGGAGGGAAAAGAACAAGTATGCTGAATATTGTAACGTGAATTGCAAATAGTAAATTCTGAACAAACTAAGTACAAGGACAATAAAATTATTAGTTTCTTGCTTTTACAATACCTTCCACAGCATCCATGGTGACAACATGACTTGCAATAGGTACTGGATCAATATAGCTGCAGCCTACAGCTGGGCCAAGGATTGCTGTGCCATCACCTATGCACAGGATAGAATCATAACATTATTGTTTCTGATGAAGTATTTCAGAACTAGAATTGGAATAATGCAGTATTCCACTTTTCAGAAGTCTGTAGAATTTGTGAACAGCTTTAACCACCGATTTCTACCAGACAACACAGAAACTGAAGACCACTAATGTGGTGCTGCTTGTCTGTCTTGAGGAGGTCACCTCATTATTTGCCATCGTGGGGAAACTTACTATTTTATAGATGTCTAACCCTAGGAATTGCTCAAACACTACAGTGCAGAACAGTTGTTTTCAATTATATCAGCCTAGTTTTTGTTCTGTTTTCTCATGCTCCCTTGAAGAGTCCTAGCTAATCTTGACCATTCATAGGTAGGTTCCTCGTTGACTCCCAACTGGACTACTTGTTCATGAAGGCATCAGAAATATACAGCAAGGCAAAAACAAATGGCAATTAAAGTAGAACTTGTCCCACCATAGGACTTTGCAACATGCATTACCATGCACCTAGCACCATGGTCCCCATGGCGCCCGCGGGGGCATTTCCATGCGCCCGCCAGGTGCTTAGGGCTGGCCTGGCTCCGGGCGCATGGCGGGGGGGAGCGCCGGCCCTGGGCATGCGGCTATGGAGGGGGCCGCCCCTGGGGCGCAAGTGTCCCCGCCCCCTGGCGCCCGAACGGCCACGCCCCCTGGCGCCCGCCAACCTGAAAAGAACACTTCCTAATGGCCATCCACACCAAAACATTTTGTTAGGGCTAGTTGCAAAACTGGCCCAGAATCTTTATTCATGCCAGAGTGAGTCTATGTCTACACTATAGCCTCTTGTGCAAAAACATATGCAAATGAGGCAAAGCATGGAATATCACCATGCCTCATTTGCATAATTAATAAGGCTCTGCTTTTGCACAAAAAGGAGCTCTCTGCACAGCTCGTTTTTGCACAAAAACCCCCTCTTGCACAAGAGCTATTTTGCTGCATTTTTTTCAGGATTTGAGCAAACCCATGCTTTGCCTTATTTGCATATTTTTTCCCTAAAACGGGCACAGTCTAGACATAGCCTATGGGTTTATTGGGTTCATTCTTTAACTCCTTAAATGGATCTGTACTCTCAGTTAAGATCTTTCTGAATACCTCCCTCCACAACAAAAGATATGAAGTGGAGGGGAGAGCAATAGGTGATGACACCAATGATAAATATACAAATACAGGAAAATATAGTTAAAAAAATTACCAACACACTCTCCCCAGACAGTCTAGTTTATGCATAACTTCAGGAGGTAGGCAGTGAATATTAGAATCAGACCTAGACAGTTAAAGAGCCTGAATGGCAAAAGCAACTGGTGCGCGCGCCTTTATTTCTAAAGAAAACGACCGTCATGGGTTGAAAACAGTTACCTGCAGAAGTAGTAAAACATCAGCTGCTTGACCTCTGTAAATTGGGAGCCTGGCTTTTCACTAGTAAATAAATGTAACACCTACATTGGTAGGGTCACTTTAGTAACATGTTTGTTTCATACTTCAATTGTTAAAAATCCTGTTTTAGGACACTGAGTATTATTTCAATCCCCACTGTCTTGCTATGGCCTGTGTAGGTTCCAGTGTCCCTCAAAGAAATCAGTCCCATCCCTCTGCTGCCCTTTAACAACAACAGTTGGAAGCTACAAGCTATGCTACCAACTATGCTATTATTATGTAGTAGTTTTTGTGCAGACCGCTGATATTGTGAAAGATTTAAAAAGTATTTTTGATTAATTCAGGATATAGTACATGAACTAAGAACTACCCTTTAGACAAATGTAAACAAAATAAGACATACATAGGGATGTTAGAGTTTAACCAATAAGCTGATGCTATCGGTTAAACTCTGTCCCTCTGCCAGAAAAATTCTCCCTGGGAGTGGAGCTGGCAGCCTCTGCCCACCCAGCTCAGAGAAAGGCTTCACTGCTGCAGCAAAGCCTCCCCAGGAGCAGGGGCAGCAGGAGCTAGGGCCCTGCCCCCCAGGAAGCTTTGATGTGGATTCTGCAGTATGAGGCTTATTTATCTTATGAACCGATAAGATCAGGCTTATCCGTTAATCGTCACATGACAATATGCTGACATCTCTAATAACAATTGTCCCTTCTGATGTTGAATTTATTAATAGAGTTTAGACAACTATTTAGGATTAACACTTGAAACTAGAAACCCCCACATTTTAAATAAATGTGAACTTACTCTTTGACCAGTGATAGATGAATGGAGAGTCAGTTGTTTGCACAGCCATTTCCTTCACAGTTACTCTGCTTACTATCTTGTGCCATTTTTTGTTAGAATGAGGTGATGAGACTGAGGGAGTAAGGTCCTTTCTGGAATACACTGAGCTGTTAGAGTGCTCCACTGACATTTCAGACAGTGACCTTCGGTCTGTAGTCTCAGATACCGGTAAAGACAGAGATTTTTCAAAGTCTTCTGAATATTCTGAATTAACAGTGCTCTCCTCAGGCCCATTAAAAACTTGTCTAACACTGAGGTAGTCTGTAGAAATTCCACTTAAAAGCTCAGAGATTTCTGCTTCAGTCATGATTTCCGCTTCCATATCATTGTCAGAAGCAGCATTAGTACTAGTTAAGGCACTCGCTACTTTAAGAGGGGTTTGGTCATTATTCATAGGAAACACATTTGATTTCGAGTCTTTGTTTGATTTTTTAGACATCTGAATGTCTGTCTCCTGTTAAAAAAAAAAAGTGAAGTCTCAACAATGCAAGCTAGAAGTGTTTCAGAGAGCTGTGCACAACATTGTACTACAGTGTAGATTGCTTATAAAATATTGGTCTTATTGGTTGCTGTGTCCTTTGTCGACTCTTTTTTTCTTAATAGGAAATGAGAGACATTCCCTTGAAATATTACTAAAAGGTAAGTGTAACTAACATATAATCCGCTAAAGGAAATTTAAAACCAAGTGAATATAACTTCATTAGCATATTTTCTGCCGCAAAAACGTGTAATGTAGACAAAGACAGACAGTGTAAATCTGGTCAATTTACTTTCTATAATGGGTCTATACAGACTATTAGAAGATAAAATGGAAGGTATTCCCTTCAAAACATCCATCTTCATTTGACACATGAATACAAACTCTTGTAAGTAACATAATGATTTACTACAGTACTTACTTCTTGTTTTAATTCTTCTCTATCACGAGAAACATCTAGATCCAAGTCATCAATGTTCAAAATATTGAATCTGAAGTCTGCAATTGAATGGCAAATGGTCACCTTGTATCAGAGCAAGAAAGCTACCTTACACATGCCCTTAAAAGAGGAAAGGCCATACATTCAATACTGTTTTCCTGATTTAAATATTTATTCATATAGATCAAGAAGGTTTTACATACTTCTTATGCCTCTCTTTTATTACCCTGTGTTTCAAGGACACTCTGCAATTCTCTCTCATGCCAAGGTCCGCTGTGTACTCTTTCCTAACATGCTAGAGGCTCAGTATTCCCTCATTCCTGTCTCCCATTCTTTCCGCATCAAATGCCAGGGTCCCTGTGTGCCCGTCATTTCTCCCTTCTACTCATGTCCTCTATTCCACCCAACTATATGCCAGAGACTGCATGCCTCTCATATTCCCTTTTCCATAACACTATCCCCCATTTTCCCTCCTCCCAGGGTCTCTATTCATCCCCATTCCTCCTGGTACTGCCAGAGGCTTTGGGTGAAACCCCACTGTTCCCTATTTTTTTTTTTTTTAAACTTGAGAAATAAATTATTCAGGATGTTAACTTTTAAAAGAAAACTGGAAGGATGGCAGCTTAACAACCAAGTAAAAGAAGCAGTGAGATAAAAAGGAAAAAGGCATAATTTAAAAAGCAGAAGTTAAATCCTAGAGGAAAACAGAAAAGAGCATAAACGCTGACAAATGAGTAAAAATATAATTAGGCAGACCAAAAAAGAATCTGAAGAACAGCTAGTCAAAAACTCAAAAAAACCCAGCAATTTGTTCAAGTACATTGGAAATCTGCTAACCACCCAATGGGGAAAAACTAAATGAATTCTTTGCATCTATCTTCATGGCTGAGGGCACCAGGAGATTCCCAAACCTGAGCCATCAAATTTTAGGTTACAAATTTGAGGAACAAATTTGAGGAACTATCACAGACTAAGGTGTCATTTGGAACAAACTGATAAACGAAACAGTAATAAAGTAGAGATGGGAAAGTGTAAATGTGGGCTCATCAGTTAACATTCACGGCAGCAGCGCAAAGGAGAGGGGTATATAGGAGTCAGTGCTCCCAGGAAGCACAGAAGCAGCAATGCAGAGGGATGGGACAGGATCTCTGTATGTACCGGCTCCCGCAGAGCCACCTCTCCTACCTATACTGCTGCCTTTTAAGCCAGCTCCCTGTAAGCAACAGCAAGGCAATAGTGCAGGGGGGAGAGGGACTACATGGGAGCTAGTGCACAGGGAACAGACTTTAAAAAGACTCTTAAGCGGTTACACATTTACCTGAATTAAAACATTTTAACATTTCTAGTAATAAGTCATCAGGACCAGATGATACTGACCTAAGAGTTCTGAAAACTCAAAAATGAAATTTGCAGAACTACTAACTGTGGTTTGTAACATATCCTTTAAATCAACTTCTGTACCAAATGACTAGAGGAGTCCAGAGGTGATCCTGGCGATTACAGGCTGGTGATCTAACTTCGGTACTAGGTAAACTTAGTAAAAACTCAAATTGTCAGAGACACAGATAAACATAATTTATTGCGGAATAGTCAACATGTTTTTTGTAAAGGGAAATCATGCCTCACCAATCTACTCAAATTCTCTGAAGATGTAAACTAGCATGTGGACAAGGGGGACCCAGTGGATATAGTTTACTCAAATTTCCAGAAAGTCTTTTACAGAGTCCCTCAACAAAGGGTCTTAAGTAAGCTGTCATGAGATAAGAAGGAAGGTCATTTCATGGATTGGTAACTGGTTAAAAGACAGGAAACAAAGGGTAGGAATAACTGGTCAGTTTTCAGAATGGAGAGAGAGGTAGCTAGAGGTATCTCCCAGGAGTCTGTTCTGGGACCAGTCCTTTTCACTCCCAGCCCTTTCTGCTGGGGCCCACTTCCGACGGCAGCCAGGTGGCCTCCTCACCAAGGAGAGGGGAGGCAGACAAGCAGGTGTGTAGCCCCAGCCTAGAGCACCTGGGAGGGAGAAGGGTGCATGGCCCGAGCCTCTACAGCCCTGGAACGTAGAGATGGAGGAGGGCAGGTGGGCGGCTCCAGCTTTCCCGCCCCAGAGCAGGAGGGAGAAGAGCATGCGGCTCCAGCATCCCTGGCTCAGAGCACCAGGGAGGGAGGAGGGTGGGCACTAGGGGCAGCAACACTCCGCCCCAAGAATGCTTACAGTAGTCATTCTGGGAATAGAGTATTGGCGGGGCCAGGCTGGCAGTTTGGGAAGGCAATGCTTTCCCTTACCTATTATACCCGCCATGGTATAATAGGTAACGAGGCAACAAAATGGGAGATGAAATTCAGTGTTGATAAATACAAAGTAATGCATACTGGGAAATATAATCCTAACTACATAAAAAAAGGTTGAGGACTAAATTAGCTGTTACCACTGAAGAAAGATCTTGGAGTCATTGTGGATCATTCTCTGAAAACATCCACCCAATATGCAGCAGTAGTCAAAAAAGCAAACAATTATGGGAATCATTAAGAAAAAGAGATATCTAATGACACAGAAAGTATCTCATTGCCTTTACATAAATTGATGGTATACCCCACCTTGAAACATATACATCGATGGTTGCCTCATCCAATATATTGGAATTGGAAACAGTTCAGAAAAAAGGCAATAAAACTATTAGAGGTGTGGAACAGCTGCTATATAAGGAGAGAATAATAAGCTTGGAAAAGAGATGACTAAGGAAGATATGGTAAGAGGTATACAAAATCATGACTCATCTGGAAAAAGTAGATAAGGGAAATGTTATTTATTCCTTCCCATTGAAACAAGAACTAGGGGTTACCAAATGAAATTAACAGCAGGTTTAAAACAAACAAAAGGTACATAAGGAGACAACACAGTCAACATGTGAAGCTACTTACCACAGAATGTTGTGAAGGACAAGTCTTTAAGAGTGCAAAAAGAGCTAGACAAATGTATGCAGGATAGGTCCATCAATAGCCAGGATGGGCAAGGATGGTGTCCCTAGCCTCTCTTTGTAGAAGCTGAAAATGGGTGACTTGATGATTACACCTGTTCTGTTTTTTTCCTGACCTAGATGGATCTCTGATCTGATCCAGTATGTCCATTATTATGTTCTTATGATGGACAGAGCCGAGATGGGGGAATATTGTTATGCTGGAAGGTATCAATGGCTGCTATCAACTGGTTCTTTTATCTACAATTACAGAGGTGATTGAAGCTGCTGAAACTGCTCACTGGATGAATGGAACAACATTTTCCCCTGATTTTCAACCTCTGGTGTTCCAATTTTCACCAAAATCAATAGGATTTCTGCCCATTGATGCCTAAAAAAACTCTGACTGCAGGACCTTGCTTTTCCTTCAGCCATCAAAAATGAGGGAAAAAGAGTTTATATTGCACTAGAAAACCAATGCTCAGAGCAAATCTCAATCCCTTTGATGGGATCTAGAGCTCTGTATAAGTTTGTTGAATATGATGAGCTCTAATTTAGTTTTAGCATCCATGGCTTACATCAAGACTATTTAGAACATAAGTAGAAATGTAAAAAGAACTTAGAAAAAACTCACCATTGGAGCTTTCACTGGTTGCATCCTCTGTATCTGCTGCTTTCAAAAACAACTCATCCAAAGACTTGACTTCACTTCTTTCAGACAAGGACACCTGGCTTTGTTTAATGTGGTTTGTTTTAGGTGAAGCATTCTCTGTAATACTGTCTTTATTTAAAGTCAATGATTGAGAAGACATACTAGTTAGTCTTGGCAAATTTCTACTTGGTGGAGGAGTTTGTGAATTAATTATATTGGAAGTTCTTTTCTGAAAACTTGCACTAAATAGATTTGTTGAAGACGACTGGGTTTTGGGTGGAAAAGATGTTCTTGGTGGAATCTTCATTTTGGACTTTGTGAAGGACTTGAAAAAAGATATGTAATTTTACATAATTTTCAACTTTTATTTAAAAGATTTTAGTAAACCTTTTACTGTCACCAAAAGTAAAAATGCACTATATTGATAACAATAAATAATGAACCATTCAGAATGCTACATAGACTAAGAAGCATGTCAACTGACATTAGCTCTCATTTTACAAAAGTGGATTACAAATACTAGAAAATAAGTTGTTAAAATGTGTACATTTTCTGTAAAGCTATCTGCCATTTTAATGTATAATTTCATAAAATATAAACAACATCTAACCCAGTAAGATTAATTTTTGTTACCTTTCCATCTGATTTGGTGACATCCTTCCGGTATTTGGTGACATCCTTCTGGTTCTCATTTTCACTGGAAAACTCCAAAGAGCTCCCCAGTAATTGTCTCATTTCCTCTTCATCACTATCTAGTCCAAGCTGTTTTCTAACTGGCACTTTGTTTGTTGTCTGGTGCCAGTTTTCCCCCTTGACTTTAGTTGATACCACATAATCACTGACTTTGTCATTTTTCTTTAGATATCGGCTACCTCTTGTACTCTGCTCAAGGCTGGACGAGGCTGAGTCCTTTTCATCCGAAATATTCAGGTCTAACTCAGTATCTGCCAAATCCAGCTGCACCTTTCGAGTCATGATCTTGCTTTCTATCTGTGCTAGCTTTCTCAGAATGGCACTTGACCTTACCTTCGAGGCTGTATCCAGTGTTTTTTTTGCAACATTCTTGTTTCCCTCCAGCATGGCACCAGTATCCACCTGGTTCAGCTGGCTTCTATGTGCATGCTGTTTTTTCTTTAGGAATCTGCTGTGATTAAGCTTTGTTTCCATAAGGGTCACCCTCCTCAGATCTTTGTTTTTTTCCTTTTCTCCCATTTCTGTGCTGCCTATAGAGAGGTCACTGGACATGGTGATGTTTTTATGGGGAGACTCCACGTGTTCCTGTGGAAGGATTACAAAAGGATGATCCTTTGTTGACAAGACTATTGGAGATCTACTACTGATTTTAGACAAGACATTTAGTCTCTCAGCCCCCATTCTCCGTAGGTACAACGAGCCCGCCCCCCCCCCCTTTTTATCTCTC